AGTGTGAGTAAAAAATGCAGGACTTCCTTACCCTTTCTCAGCGAAATGATCAATCGTACACCAAGGGAGTATATTGAAGATTTGCTGGTAAGAAAGGTGGTCATACAATCCGTTTTCAGATCGATCAATAGACATCATAGCCGGATATTCGTTACCTTCTTCGGACAAAACTCTTAGGACTCGGAAGACCAGTCCCTGGCTTTGGAAAACTAATGGAAAGCATTCTCCTTACCACAATAAGAAAGCACTACGGCAATGGCGCTAAACCTGCACTCTCATTCATCTCCTGCTTCGTACAAAGACAAAGCAGTTTCTCATCTCCTGCCTTCTAGGAAGTAAGGGCAGCTATCTCCTGTGAACGAATAGGCTCTTTTCGCTCTCTACAATCGGGTTTCAACCCGGCTACGAACCGGCTTATAGAAGGATTCCTTAGACTGCGGAATTTCTTACAGAACAAAGAAGCAGACTCTTAGGAAGGAGACATGACGTAAGGTATAAGGGAGAGAGGTAGGATTGAAACTGGAAGACTGGGAGACTAGATCGAAAGCTTAAGCGCTTCGGGGATGCGCATCCAAAAGGAAAGACCTTAGACCACATACAAGACTGAGAAAGAGACAGCCGGAATAGAACAATACCCCTATGGAAATACTGATCATTGGCTTCAACTTCATAAGACTCGAAAGGGAAAACAGGCCGCGGCCGCGGGCTCTTGCTGATCCCAGCTTGTTTGAGAACTTTCTTGAGCGTGGATATAGAAAAATCCGAAGGCATGATGCTGCACCATCTTAAATATCTGGCACAGACTAGCATCTTGGAGGGCCAGGTAACCATTACAGGATATAACCATCTCGGGGAAAATACCCTTTTCTAGCGAGTTTCTCCCAGTCTCCTCAGGAATTCTTCTCAGAAGTTCATCCCCTAGCAGGGAGGCATCATTCGGATACAACTGTCACCGCATCTTTCTGATAAATTCCAGAAAGCACCTCTGACTTTTGAGTGAGACGGCAGTTTGAATTCCAAGAAAGAAAATCGATCAGCTGCACCATTGTTCTTGATCTGAAGCAACGTTTTCAAAATGACTTCCCCATTCTCCAAGTTCAGAAGTGACCACAAGATCAAGGGGCAGACTAAGGCAATGATAATTGGCTGACTAGAATGACTAACGGGGCAATCCTTGACTTTCTTATTGATTATCCTTCCTTCTTCGTGCAGACCGATGACACAAGACCCACAGGGCTATGAGAAATAAATAAATGAGAAGACCGATGATACCAGGAACCAAATTAGATCGACGGCACCAGAGACCGGAAATACGACAAATTAACTAGAACCAGATCAGACCGAGGAGAAAGAGGAAAACACAGAAAAGACGATGATACCAAATTGGTGAGGAAGAAGAAGACCTAAAAAGACCTTTCCCAGCGAAGATGAAAACCATGACACAGACTTACAGAATGGCACGGTCTCTAGGACGAAAGGAAGAAAAGATCGAGCTTTGTGGCTCGCGACGACTCAAACGGGCGGATTCCATGTCCAAGATAAACCTGAATCTGTTCAGCACCTTTTCCACTCTTGTTCGAGGGTTCCCCATGAAAAACGAGTAGGGTTGACGTCTAAGGGCTTTGACACGTTCGCTGCTTAGGGCTTGTTTAGCGTATCTTCAAGCGGACCTGAAACTTCGCTGCCTAGGGAGCAAGCGCCAGGGCAGCTATTAGAGCTTAGTAGCTTCTGCATTCTGGTCTTAAGCCAACCAGTCCTGTCAATCCTAAAATGCAAATGATAGATTATAGAAAGAATTGCGTGAATCTAATCTCGTGGGCTTATTTTGTTAGATTCTGGATTGAGAAAGCACCGCCCAGTAGTGCCTTTAGCGAATGCGTTCACGAGGCCGGTCCCCGGTGGCTAAGAACCAGTCCTCACTCTTGAAGCCTAAAAGCCACTTTTTTAAGTATAGCTCAAGGCGGTATCGAATAGTCAACTTAGCCGTTTATAGAGCATGACCTGGATCCCCAAATACTCGTGAACTACGTCAGTCAGAAAGAACGCCTACCTTAGAATGAATCTTGGTCTAAGTTGGCGTTGTGGGTCGAATGAGAATTTCGATCGAGCATGCGATCCTCCTCGATCCCAGGAGGGCATTTGATTCTACGCTCGCTGGGACAGGGAGGTCAAGGGTGGACTCAATATCCTAGTGCCGTTCAAAGGAGTGTCGCTACACTCGACGAGAAAGGAAAGGTACCGAAGAATTGGGGGGTAAGGGGTAGTTAAATGACTCCGAATGAGCGAGTTGTAGCACTTCGACAAAGAAAGGTTTATTTGAATGCCCACTCACTGTATCGGAAAGGCCGTCGGAGAGAATGGCAGTTTGATCGAGCAGTAGACCTGATAGGACAGGACTCTTTAGGAAAAGGGCTGCCACTGGCCTGGCGATCACTCAACAAAATTAGCAAGCAGCCCCGGCCCGGGAGGAAAGCAAAGATTTTGAGCACTCGGGCAGCATTGGTTGATAAGGGCTATCTTTTTCGGGCTTCTTAACTGAACTGAATACGTAATATACGACATACGACATTATAGACTGAGACTCGGCCAGTTGACTCGATATATAGATTGATCTTGACTTTATAGGAGGGTTAACTAGACCAACTCGAATAAACGCACCCTCTCGCTCATGGCGGGGATGATTCACATCCAAACTAGCTGGAATGACGATCTTCTCCAGCGCGCGCTTAAATGAAATAGGAACGGCCGGGCACAGCTACGCATGGAAGACGAGAGAACAAAGTCAAGTTTTCCTACAGGGGTTTTAAATGCACCCCTAAAGGAATGGAATAGTAAGGCGTGGATGGTATTCACCCCGACTGTTTAAGGGAAGAGACGACTGTCTTGATGCCATCTCTTCTGTGAGGGCGAGTTTACGAGCGCTCTTCGTGCTTATCTTCCCGGGAAGTTCAGTTGCTTCTTCTCCTTTTTCATCAGGACTGAGTGGTCCTCTTCAAGTGGTGGTTACAGCTTGAAGAGGACCAACGGAAAGACTGGCCAAGGAACCTTGCTCTATTGGTTGCTGATTCCTAGAGCTAGGTGCGGGAAAAGAAGGCGAATGTCGCCCCAGAACTTTGTTTGTAAGACTCGCAATAAATGGAACCATGATTAGACCTTTTTCCTTTTTATCCTGCCCTTTAATTTCAGGTTAAAAAATGAGATGGAACGAAATTGTTGCCTCGAGGTTATCGAGGAAAAGCTTGGGAAAAGGAACTTGCTTCTCCTTCTGCTTCGTATATCCAACGCGAATATCATATCGGAACGTTTCCCCCCTCAATCCCCCTCGGAGGGAGAAAGAAGACCTCCTTAAAGAACTTTCAGGAAATTAAGGATTAGTTCTTCTTATAACAAGGTACTGTACTCAACTTTCAATCGACAAGGATTCACTGCCTAAGAGGAGAGAGAAAGGGGAGATCTTCCATCACAGTCAGAGTCGAACCGATACCATCTCCAGGTCACAGTCACCAAGATCGAAGGGACGACACTCATTCAAGCCAGCCCTCCGAGATGCAAGAAGGGCCTGAATCAGAATAGACTTGGGAGCTAAGAGAGATTGGCAAGGTTTAAATAAGAGTGTGCCTAGCGTCTTTCGCTGTCTGTTATTATAAGAAGGAAGGGATAGGTGGAGGACTAGAAGGCCAGGATGCAGAGAATCTAGCTAGGAGTAAGAGGAGGCATGCATCGTATAATAAGAAGGCCTCGAAAGTAAAGATATCCAAGCACAAAAGAGAATCGCTTTGGAAAGAAGGGCGTCGTTCTCGAGCGAGATGGGGGACTTTCGGATATGCCTTCCCTGTCTTATGTTATCGCCGCCGTTGATGGGGAGCTTTTTGAGGAAGGAACTTTTACATACTTAATCTACGAACGGGATTCCGCCTTACCTTCCTTTCCCAGGACTGAAAGCTGCCTAAACTGGATCAATGTTAATGTCCGAGGAGGTTCTTTCCATAGTAAATAAGAGATCCACGAATGGGATTGATGGACGAGGAGGTTGAATGCGAGGTTGGGATTGGACAAAAAAAAAGAAGGAATTCCCCTCAACAAGCACCGTTTAGTTGGAATGAGTGTGTGGCAATTCATTGGGATGACCGTCGGGGTACTTACTTGAGCAAGGAGTAAGCCTTCTCTTTGGTCCCTTCAAAGCACCGAAAGAGAAAACAACCTAAAACGCGCATGCAACCTCAGACGCTTTCTGAGATGAGAAGGTGGGAAGCGATCTCGTTAAAGCGCTTTTTAGAAGCCTTGTAGGCAGTTTGAAAGACAGTTAACACTGCCTCAACTTTATTGATTTCACTACATTTGTAATAGGAACTGCTCTCGGTTTTCGAAATCCTCTTTTTTCACTGACTTGGAATGCGTTGATACAAATGCCCTTCATAGATACTATAGATTCTGCAAGCTACTCCGCTTTCACATTTATATTATAGAATAAACAGATTCGAAAGACATTAGTAAGGGAGTGGCTAGACTGATTGACCGAATATGCACTTTATGGGATAAGTTGACTAGGGAAGCCTCATTAAATTCCCTCTTCGATGCTAAGAATAGGTTTTAGATCGCTACGCCCGCAGCACCCCCATGGGAGTTCCACTTCCCGAGGCCGAGGAGCCTACCCTCCCAACGGTCGGGGATGAGGATACTTCTGATGGATCTTCACGCACGGCCACGGAAGTCAATCCGTTTGCCGCTGCAACCATCAGGCTCAAGAGCGACGATCTCGCTGCTTGAAGACAACAGACAGATTGAGGAATCAAATAATGAGTTGATGCAGGCTATGATCCAACAAAAGGCTACTGTCCTCAAAGCCATGCTTTCGGATAACCAAAGATCTATGGAGTCGGTCGGAAAGTAAGTCGAGAAGCTAGTGGGTTAAATGGAAGTCCGACCCCCATCGCAGGACAAAGGAAAGGCCATTAAGGTTTATGACATTCCACCCCCTCCACCTAAACCCGACTTGCAGT